CATCAAAGGCTTGCTGTCTGCTGGAATAAACAAAACCATCCTTCTGCCCACAGCCTTTTGTGCTGGCGGGGGTGCTGCCCTGGCTTTCACATACATTTTCCCCTCCTGCCTATTTCTGAATTAATCTCCTCCAATTGAGCAAGTGGCTAGAAAAAGTTCATCAAAGGACTCTCTCATGGCCTCATTCCTGCACTCAGACTCTACTACTCCAGGCTGACCTGAAAGGACACCAGCAGATTATGACCAGATACAGATTAGAAGGCAAGAGTAGGCAGCTAAGTTGTCCAGTGAAGTTTTCACAATGCCTTCACTTCAGCACGAGTGACGTTTCAGCATCCAGCAAGGAACTCCGTAATACTTGTGCTTGGGGTGGGAGGTCTGGCGATGCTTCATTGTGCCCTCCCTCTTCTAAGTCTCATAGCCTGCTCTTTTCCCACAGGGACGGTGTTCCATATTGTGAATCGGACTATCATGCCCAATTTGGTATCAAGTGTGAGACTTGCAACCGGTATATCAGCGGCAGAGTCTTAGAGGTGAGTCCAGTGCACAGAGACGTCTTTATTATGACAGCAGTTATACAGACGGGAAGCATCCAGCCAGTGCTGTATATTCAGAAGAGATCCTGCTCTTTTGCCCTAACTGAACCAATCTGAAGTAGTATCAGCAGCACGCGCGACATACTTCTTTACAAAGGATGCTTGGATAACTATGGGATGAGCTCACAAATCTGGTATTCACACCAAAGCGTTAGGATTTTTCCCCCACCTGGTATTTTCAATAGAGGTCGGGTAAAGGACTAGCTCCTAGTAAATTCCAGAATATGTGCCACAAGAGGAAATAAGCTGTTGTACATTACAAATATGCAGGGAAACCTAGTGGGTGCTAAATATAGTTGAATTTATTGTTGGTGCACTAAAATCAAGCATGGCTGTGTCAGCACTATAGAACAAGGGAATATGCACGCTCTTTGGAATCTGGTTACTGTCATTGAATCTTACCTGTAGAAGCCAAGCAGCATTTGGGATTTTTGTTCAGTTTCATTTCAAGCCCTCATAAAGACACAGAAAAACTTTTAAAATCCTATGAGGATGGATAATTTGCTAAATAATAGAGAATGTCAATACTAGTTCCATTCCATTTCAGAACATCTGTTGTTCTGCCAGTAAATCTATCACCTCATTTTGCAGGAGGAGCTTCCATTTTAATTACGCATAATTGTGAATAATACTTCTTTTCCTCTGTTCTGAATTTCCCAGTATTAAATTATTTGAGAAAGAAAAATTCCCTCTTTCTCCACACCATGCATCTATCTTATAAATCTCAATCATTCTGCGATTACAGGTAGTCCTCAGGTTACAACAGCAATTGGGACCGGGATTGCCATCGCTAAGCAATTCAGTCATAAAGCACAATGTCATGTGAATACACCACTTAGTGATGGCAATCCCAGCAATCCCAGTTGCCGTTGTAACCCCAGGACCATGCAGGTTGTTAAGCAGGAAGAGGTGGGAGTTCCAGGTAAGAAGCACAGGAGGGGTGGGGGGATGCCACAAGCGGGCGCCGGGGAGTGTGGGTGGGCCAGCAAGGGCTGCAGGTGGGCAGGGGCCATGGGTGGGCGGGGGGTGCTGCAGGTGGGGGTGCACTATGGAGCGCAGGTGGGTGGGTGGGTGCTGGGGGCAGAAACATGCTATGGAGTCATGCTATGCAGATGTTGGGGACTAGTGGGCTCCTTGAGAGAAAAGGCAATGGGAGCAACTTATAACCTTTCCTGTCAGCTTCCCCATTGACTTTGCTTGTGGGAAGCTAGCAAGGAAGGTCGCAAGTGGCAATCATGTGACTGCAGAGATGCTGCAACAGCCACAACTTTGCAGACCGATCGTAAGTCCCCCTCGTTCAGCACCGTCATAATTTTGAGGTCGCTGAATGAGTGGTTGTAAGTTGAGGACTATTTGTATTCGCTTTTTTCTTCCTTCTCCTTCTGAAATTAAAAAAAAAACAAAATCTCTAGATTTTGTAACTTTCTTTAATAGGAGAATTCCTACAGTCCTGTAACTCTTTCAGTTATGCAGCTATGAATGGTTCCAGGTATACAGTATTCTTTTTGGAATGCAGCATTGATAGATTTGTATCAAGATTTTATGGTTTCCTCTTCATCTGCATGGAAAGCTAGTAGTGTATTTTGTCTAACAAAGCATTTGCCCTTCATATCAAGACTGTACCTGAAGAATTGGAGATCCTCATTCAGTTCTTCATAAATATCTCCAAAACTCCTAGGAGAAAAGATGTATCTTCCCTCCCTGTTTTAGGCATTTTGGCAAAGTAACTTTGTTTCTTGCTGCAGCAAGTGTCAGAGACATCTTTTTATTCAAATGCTCCCTCAATCCATCCACCTGGAAAATATTCTGTAGCTAAGTTCCACTCTGCTTCTCCCTGTGGCTTTGGCAATAATTCCAGTATAACTCCTAGCCATTTCATATATGTTACCTGAACCAAGGAATGGTAGAAGGCTTTGACTACAAAGGGGCACTTTGAACCAGCTGATGGAATTTATCAAATTAGATAGCAAGTGTATATTCTGCCTAAGTCTAAATTCATCCTCACTAGGATGGGTAAAAAGGAAGGCTCAGCTAAAGAATTTAAAGTCATCTGGAGGGCACCAGGTTGGGGAAGGGTGATCTAACTAAACAAATAAAGCAAAAGGCTAGCTCACCTTAATCATGAAAAATTAATAAAATCATAAAAGGTCTGGCAAAATTGCTGTTTCTATACCAAAATAATATATCAGGAATGAAACAAGTGAACCAAATGTACTTTAATATAATGAGACAGCTAAATAAAATATACATTAATAACAAAGGAGGGAAAATGTTACCACTTGTATCAGAAGAGGTACCAGTGGGAAGATGCACATCAGCTTAACTAGAACTTCCAATAATCCATTCTAATGCTACCCCTTTCCACCACCACCATCCATAATAAATTGCAATGGAAGTAGTGCCTGAAATGAATAATGAACAGAGGCTTTATGGTAATGCTGACAGAAGTCAAATGAATTAAAATGTGGTTGTTGTTTTTAATACTAATTATGGAAAATCACTTTGTCATCCCTGCATATCCTTTTCAACAGTTCCACTTATAATTTATTTTCCTACTACGAACACATACAGCCAAAATTAATTTCTATAGCAGTTAACATGGAGCTCTGATCCAGATGCAGAACGGGTTTTCAGTACTATAGCTAATTCCTGAAATATGTGAAGCAACAGTAAATAAAAATCCTCTGAGCTTGCATGATCACAGACCTTCTCAACCAGGGTGTCATTACAGCCCATCCAAGTCTGTTTAGGATTAAGGAGCAGGCAAATGACTGGAATCTCAGGTTGGCTTGGAGCTTGGCAGTGTTCTGCTCGAATATTTAAAATTGAATGAGAAGAAAGAAGTCCTAACAATGAGCAAGAAATGATCATTTGCTTACTGAGTGTTTGCCCATTTTGTGTCTCCCCCCCAGTTCTAAATTAACTATCTGCTTTGTATTTTAACTAACACCCGTCATAGATAAATTGATGTGAACTTGCCATGCATCTAGCCATCTGATTTAGCACATACACCAAAAAGATTCTTGAGACTCATTGCATGTGAAAGAGGCCAGAAATTTAGGCTTAAATGTTGCTTGTTGGCTATAATTTGATCATCCTTTCATTTTCCATCTGTCGGCCCCAGACAGTCAAACCAAGACATTGGGAGCAGGTTTTAAAAATAATCCTGCCAAGTGATTGCATTCAGAAGGGTGCTACTTTTCTTGAGTTGCATTAAAACTTGCAACTTCCTGAAAATTGCACCTGCCCAAGACGGAGATGTCCTGAAAAGATTTCCTGGAGCAGAAAGTAGATTAAAGGACATCTGGCTGGCACTTTAATTCAAAAGGATTTTCACTCCAGCCGTGGGGTGGTTTAGAAGTCCCAGGGGCATGATACAACCCTATCTTTGGAGAAATTCATAACAGAATTATTTTACAGTCCCTTCCAGCAGTCTCATGGCTTACATGCTCAACCTCTCAGAACTTTTCTTCAGTCATGCTCATTGGCTAACAGCTGCTTCACAGGGATGGGAAAAGCTACTGATGTTGTCTTCAAGACACATCTTGGAAAATAATTGTTGCATGTGGATTCATTCCAGTCATCTTTGTCTCTTCTGTACATTATGTTGCTGAGCACAGGTACATGTAGTGGACAGACAGTTAACTTTCGTGAACTATCAGTTGGCCTTTGAGATTTTGAGGCCCTGACCAAGAGAATCTGCAAATATCATCATGATAGGAGTGACTGCAGACAGGTCAGCAGATAGCCTGCAACTTAGCATGAAGACAGGAGATATGGTTGATAAGTTGCATATGGAAAGCTGCAAAAGCCGTGGGGTGGTTTAGAAGTCCCAGGGGCATGGTACAACCTATCTTTGGAGAAATTCAGAACAGAATTATTTTACAGTCCCTTCCAGCAATCTCCTGGCTTACAAAGTCAACCTCTCAGGATTTTTCTTGGTTGTGCTGGTGGAAACCTTTAATCTCTAAGCCAGCTAACCGTTATGATCATAAATCAAATGGGATGGTAAGGATACTGTAGAGTTTGATACCCACTGAGTCCCAGGATTCTGATTTCCCTCAAGATAGGCAGCTGCTTTTTCCCTCCTCCTCAGTGAAATGTGGTGTAAAGGCCTTCTATTTCAGCCATAATCAGCCTTCCTATGCTTAAGCCTCTGGGTGTCCCAGATGGCTTTAAGATGTGTAGCCAGCGTAGATGATTAATGAGTCTTAAAGGAATAACACACCCCTCCCACTTTGAATTATAATTAGCAGTCTCTCTTCACTGTTGGCAACATACAATGGCCTGTAATTTTCATCAGTGTAAAATAAACAAGATTGCTGTGGTTTCTTCTGTTGGGCAGTTGCATCCCCTTCATGATCAAAGCACCATCCACGATGGACCTTTAGGGTGCGGTTGCCCTTGTGATTAAAACAAAACCAAAATGGAACCACTTACGATACTTTGCCACGTAGCTGAGAGGCTAAGCTGCCAATATAAGTGCCCAGAGATGCTGGAAATCAGGCAGCATATAAATTTAATAAATTATGGTCAGTTGCATAGTCAGCCAGATGTTTAGACTGGATTTGGCATTTTTGTCCACCTATCGAGTCCTTCCCAAGGACCTGGGATAGGCAGGTGTTGTTGTTTGATGGTGTGAAAGGTATTGTCGCAGGATGTAAGCTGTTCCAAGCAAAGCTGCCTTTTGCGATTGACTGATGGTGATTTTTTCAATGCCAATGGTCTTCCAGTGGTGCTCCAGATGTTTTGGGATTGCACCTATTACTATTGGTACTATCTTTGCTTTCCTTTGCCACAACATTCTACTTCTATTTGCAGG